GGCTCCATTGTTCACTCTTCCATGGGAGGCTAGACGACGGTCTCGGTGAAGGAGACGTGATCGACAGAGGAGTTGGAGGAAGAGGTCGCCATTAGAGAGATCATACGCACTCTGAATAGGTGTGTGCGTAGTCTTCTCCACGTCGGCATGCCCTTCTCCTTCAGGGCCGAGGCACTCTCCACTACTTCGCGTCTCATTAACAGGCGGCCATGTCATGCCACGGCGCCGGTCACGCCGTTCGAGCACCTCCTCGGTGCTCCGCCCACCTACAGCCATCTCAGCTGCTCACAAACTTTGTGCGTGCTCCATTGCGTGTGTTCTCTTGGGATACCCCAGTGATCATCGTGGCTATCGGTGCTTCGATCTCGACAGCCGTCGCATCATCACATCTCGCCACGTTGTGTTCCACGAGGCCGTCTTCCCGTTCCAAGCACCATCACCTACCACGACGTCGCCCATGCACGGTCCATCTCTCGCCGTGGACGACGAGCCTGTCATTCACACTGACAATGCCCCTAAACGTCGATGCGTTACCGCGGTGGCACCCGTCGCAAGATCACCGCACAATGACGCCATCTCTGGGTCTCCCTCTTCCCCAGCAGCCGTCATCCAGTCATCGGCCACAGAGTCTCCGGCCACAACTGTGCATGCTCCGCCTGAGTCCTCACCTCCACCCGCCTCGTTAGTACCACCACCACCACTCCGTGGCCATCCCATGTCACTCGTGCGCGCGCTGGCGTGTTCAAGACAAATCCATGATATGCCATGTCCGTGGACACGGCCATCTCTCCCATTCCATCATCCGCTCGTGAGGCTCTGCGCTATCCCAACTAGCGTCGTGCCATGGAGGCCGAGTTCTCTGCTCTCCAGGCCAACAGAACCTGGCAGCTTGTCGACAAACCCGCCGGTTCCCACATCATCTCCAGGAAGTGGCTGTTCAAGCACAAATTTAATCCGGACGGCTCCCTTGAACGGTACAAGGCCTGCTGGGTTGTGCGCGGATTCAATCAACGCGCTGGCATCGACTTCTAGGAGACCTGCACGCCGGTTGTTGAGCCGGTGACAATCCGCACGATGCTCACCGTACCATCGCTGCGTCGAAGCACTGGCCGATGCAACAGCTCCAGTGTCTAACGCCTTTCTTCATGGCAACCTTGAGGAGTACGTTCTGTGCCAACAGCCAAATGGGTTCCACGATGCCGATCGACCACAAGACGTCTGCCTCCACAACAAGTCACTAAACGGGCTGCGCCAGGCGCCACGCGCATGGTTCACACGGTTCACCAATTTCGCCGTCAAGCTGGGCTTCAAGGCTACCAGGTCGGACTCTTCCTTCTTCGTGCTGCGCCGAGGTCACGACATCACCTACCTCCTTCTCTACGTCGATGGTATGGTCATCACTGCGCTGCTCTCTTCGCTGCTCCAATGCGTCGTCACCGAGCTGTGCAACGAGTTCGCCGTCAAGGACATGGGTGAACAACGCTTCTTCCTCGGCATCGACGTTCCGCGCAAGGCTGACGGCTTCTACCTCTCCTAGACATTTGAAGCCTTTCGGGACAGTCTTTGTGTCATGCCGATGATACTTCAGACTGCGGGGGGTGATAAAGTGTAATTTGTATTTGAGTTTTGAATAGCTTAGATGAGGTTTCCCGCGCTGCCGGAGTCCACAAGCCACCCACGACGTCGCCCACATCGTGCGTGCACTCGGCAGACACGCCTCGAGCGCTGGCAGTTCCACTGCCTGTAACCTGTACAAATTCTCAGAGATCATCACGATTCCACTTGTTGGCTCCATTGTTCACTAGAGTCAGCTAAGAACCCTCGATGTAAATATTTACAGTAACAGCTTTCCTAAGAAAACCACCACTTAAATCAATTTACAATTGCGGCTTTCTGTAACAATAAAAAATTTGCTTGCGGCATAGCGTATGAATGTGGGTCCGAAAGGCAGAGACAAACGTTTCATGGCAAACTGTGCGAGCAAAGCAACATGTTCCTTGCTACAGACGATCGAGCTTCATACTTGTCTCATATCCACATAAGAGAGTAGCTAGTCCAGAGCTACACGTTAAGGACACCCTTAGGGCGTCCCCGATCGATGAGCTCCTGAAATCGCCGGCTGATATGGCATGGAGCCAAGTAAAAAAAAAAGAAAAACAAGGTAGCCGTGAGCAAGGTTTTTAATTTCGGTATCGCCAAAATTTCGGTCACCACCGAAATTACCGAATTTCGCGAAATTCGGCCGAAATTTCGCCGAAATTTTTTTAGAGATTAGCACATGAAGTATGTTTTTTTCTAAAAAAATTTGGATCTAAACAAATATTAGTATGATTTATGACTACATATCTATTAAATAGAAGAATATGCAATATAAACAATAGAAAAATATAAGATTAGAGTTATATAGCACATGTATTAGTGTATTAAAAAATTTCGGAGTTTTCTTTCGGCCACCGCCGAAATTACCGAATTTCGTGAAATTCGGCCGAAATTTCGCCGAAATTTTGAACCCTGGCCGTGAGGTGGGCACAGACAAAGAAGAGGCCAAACTTTTTACAGGAACTGTGTGACACTGGCGCTGAACTCGTCGGTAGCGGAGATTTTTCATTCTTCTCTCAACTGTAGGTAGGCTGTCAGATAGCTCGGAGTCATCCGATGGAGACGCCCTTAGGATAGCCATTGGTGCATACATATGAAAAGTCGCGCTTCCGGCCAGCACAACAGTGCAATTTGGCAGGGGATGCCAATTCCGATGTGGACAGTGCATGACTGGAGAGCAATAATTAAAGGTGGGTCTAGATCATGCTTGTCCTCCTAGGACCTTGGCAACTCATTGGCTACTTTTAAGATATTGTACATACTCCTACCTAAGAGCTCCATAATTTTATAGTTTATAATATTTTTGTTTACTTTTACTAAATAATTAATTTGATGCACAGATCTACTATAGACATCTGAACATTATATCAATATTAGACCTGTTCGGTAGCACTTCTCTCCAGCAGCACTACTACGGCTGCTGCAGCCAAGTCTCACAGGCTACTGTACAATCAGTAACCGAATACTGTAGCCGAATACAGCCATTTTTTTAACAATTTCTTGTGCAAAAAGATTAATTATATATAAAAACAAATTTGGCCTTCTTTAACTCTTTCATCAAGAACGAGCCAACTAGTGGACATTGTAGGTCCTCGTTTTTCTAGGGTCTAAAGCGGGACTTAAAGTCGAGACACCTTAATATTAATATGTCATAACATTGATACTTAATATAGATATATATGAAAGGTTATCAATAAATGTTTGAAATATATAAAAACACTTTTTTATTATACTCCATTCAACCCAAAATAAATAACTTTCATGAAATTTTCAAACAGAATAAAGACGCTAGTTATATTCTCATCTACCTTTCCTGAACGATATCTCTTAGATTTGGCGGTTATCATTTGCATGTACCTATGATTAGCATCTGTATTAGAAGATTGTGTCCCATGTTTTTTGTAGAATGTTGTTTTCTGAGAAAATTTTTAAACCTCGTAAAGTTATTAATTATGGGATGAAGGGAGTAGTTTAGACATAATAAATTCTCTTAGTCATCGATGATGGTATCAAGTTATAAATGAGTTTGCGCCTATACGCAAGGTGGTATATTAAAGATGGGACACTACCTCATAAAGCTATTAATTATGGGACGAAGGGAGTAGCTACACTGTTTATACTTATTTTAACTTACTCTAAATTCTACTACATGAAAAAAAAATCAAACAAGCCAAATTTTTTAGTATATTATTATAATACTATTATATTAGTACATAAAAATAAGTATTACCACATAATCGATGATGGTCTAGTATGATCACATACTCCTATATACATATGCTTCGTCAAGCCATATACACTTTAAATCTTGCAATACATGCATGGAAGTAGCTACACCTAGGAGTAGAAAGGATTTTACACATATATAGAAAATATGCTCCAGAATGATCAAGCTATGGATAAATATGTCGTATGAGGCAATGTAGTTAAGTTCAATTGAATCAAGAGTATCACAACAAATGATGTTTGGAAGAAGTATATGGAAATTCATGAGGGAACAACCATGGTACACGGACAAGTTTGATCAATTTGCTATGAAAAAGATGAAAGTGTTTCCAATGTGTTCAACTGGATGTATGTCATCATGAATGAGCTCACGGATCTTGGTTATGATGTTCTCTCACAAGTTTCATACATCACTTCTTGACGACCCATATGCCACAATTGTGTCTTTGCTTCTGAGGACAAATTTAATGTATAGAACTGCAACCTATATTTTGGTGGGTGAAGAAGTTATGATTTTTTGCAAGAAATCAAAACAAGAAGCTTGTGGCAAACAAACTGATAAGAAGCGGAGAAGAGTTTAGGATTTAAGGCTTAAGAGTGGAAATTTGAAGATTAAGATGAAGACAAGAAGACAATGACCCTGATAAATGGTTCGTTCTCTGTGCCTAGATAGTTAGTTAGTAGTGACCTTACACAAGCTAGAAAAGACAAGCCCAAACAGCTCTGTCTGCAAGTTGTTGGATTTCACAACACAGACACCTTAATAGACAGCTACTTGACTGTCTACAAGTTATTTAATGCTTGCATGTAACCATGATCAATCATGAATATCATTTCTATATATCATTATATTGCTAATTGATACAAAATAGATCATTCAATACATGGTGCATTCAGTCATATAGTAAGCTATAGAAAATAGGGATTCAGTCATTCAGTAAATGGAAATGACATTTTTATCTCTATTCGGCATGAAAACAGATAAGAAAAATAGGTAACTGAGATACCTATACATCTTGTTCCAGTCCCCGCCATCTACGATCTACGCAAAGTAGAACAAAAAAAAAAATCTGATGGTGTTTCCATTGGAAGCAACGCTCGTGTCATCAACGCGAGGTACCAGATGCGGCCATGGAGGAAGACGCCGCCGCTGTTGGGTCGTGGCCGCGTGACCAATGGGGATTGGCGCAGCTGCCGCCGGGACCATGTTGTCAGACCTTGCCTTCCGCCCTTCCCTGTACGGGATTAAATTTGCTGACGCTAGGTCCGCCGTAGAGCCTCCCTACCCTCCTCTATCTCCTACAGTACGGCGGGATTTTTTTTTTTTTTTTTTTTTTAAAACACATCATACAGACGGCTGAAACAGACGCACCGTACATGCCTTTGATAATGATCATACGACAAGGGACTTCCCAACCGAGCGAACAGAAGAAATCGAGGAAGGATAAGGGAGGGGAGAGGAGGGAAAGGGAAGAGGGAGAGAGGAGAAACAGGACGCCGGCGGGGGCTGGGCTCCAGCGGCGGCGGCGCTTTAGTGCGGTGGAGGTAGGGTGGCAGCTGCGGTGTCGCGCCGTGGGGCAGAGCGAGCGAGAGGGAGCAGGGCAGCGGCGTGACGGCGGAAGGGCGGTATGTAGCGGCCTTGGCTCCAGCGAGGAAGAAGCACGGGGTGAGCAGCGGTGCCAGAGCAGGAAGCAGAGAAGAGGAGGAGGTAGAGGGAAAGCAAAGCAGGACGCCGGCGAGGGTGCTTGGCCGCTCACGGCTCCATCAGGCAGAGGCGAGCGCGGCTCTCTGCCTCGGGCGGAGGTACAGAGCAGGGCCGCGGCGGCGGTGTGGAGCAGAGCAGAGATGGGGAGAGGGAGAGGAGAATGGAGGTGGAGTGGGAGAGGAGGAGCTCAAGCTCGGGGCGAGGATGGCGAGCTCCGTTGGCCCCCTTTTATAGGCGCGGCAGGACGATGCGCGGCGGCCGATATTTTTCGACCACGGCGATCTTTGCCGGCAAGGGTGGCAGGCGACAGCGGCAGCGGCGCTGTGGCCAGCGGAGCACGGCAAGGTGATAGCTGGGGCGGGGTGGCTTGAGCTGGAAGTCGGTGGGACGCGACGGGAGGTCAGCGGTGGCGGCGTCCTGAGTACAGTGCATCGCTGACTTCCTGGGGAAGACGATGCTGACGGCTGGGCCCCATACGTCGGCGAGAGGAGGGAAGGGAAGAGGGCTGCTGGGCCGCGGCCTTGTTCGGCCGGCCCAAGCGGAGGGAAGAGGGGAAAGGCACGCGCGGGCTGGGCCAAAGGCCTGGCAGGGGGGCCAGGGCTGGTTGGGCTGAGCCCGTTCGGGAGGGAGTACACAGGAATGCTTCATATTTTCTAATTCCCAGAAATTTAGAGTATGTAACAATACTAATATACTTGTGTGCATGATGTACTATATAAATTTTAGAATAACTAAATATTATATCTATTCTATAGAAATTAAAAGTAACGATATTATTTTTTTCTAGGTTTTTCTAATAACTATAATTTTGCTAAACGTAAAATTATGAGGGAAAATTTGAAGGAATAATTAGACCTATAAATTATCAATGCGACGGCTAGCATGATTCCTAGCGAATAAGATATTATTTATAACCATGATGTATTATCTAACTCTATAATATAAGAAAAGGTTTTAAATACATTAAGAATGCAATTGGAAATTAAGTGAGGTTGTTTTGGTGCATAAATAAATTCCGGAAAAAAGCACACAAGAAATCAAGCTGGCATTCAACAATCATTCAAATATTCACAAAGTGCAGGCAATGGAATTTAAATGCCAGCGATTTCTCTAATCCATAAATTATTCCTAGCGCTACAATTAAATTTCTCTGAGGCACACAAAATGCTACAACTAAATTTCTACGAGGCACACAAAATGCATATGGTTGGTTTTGCTGCAGAGTTTTGGAAATACATTTTCAAAACCATGCACTCTTGTGCGTGGGAAAACGAGCCACAAACACTGACGCTCTGGCTCCCGGTAAGCAAACTCACCCATGGATCCTAGCGGTTCGTTCTCAATATACCCTCACCCGAGCCGGTGTAGGCGAGTGATCTGACACTCAGATCGCGTACTTGGCCCGGCTCACCCATACAGCAGGTGTAAGCGGTAGTGACTCGTTCACTATCGACCCTACCCCTACTAGAGTCAGGGAGGTATCTTGGGGGTCCCCAGTATGATCCAAAAAGCTCTGGCACTCAGTGTCACATAAATCCCTCAATACCCGGAAGAGCTCGAAGTACCCTATTTCAGCGGACGTGTGCCTCTTTGTGGAAACCAGAAACTGGTTGGCCCATGGTTGTAACCAAAGTATGAGCTCCTGCAATCTGGAAAAAGAGTTTTATGACGTGCCCCCGCTGGTCAGGCTTTGTCCTGCCGCTTCCTTTCAGTGATAGCGGACGTTCACTCGTTCTACCCGTTACCGGCTCGAAAAGTAATAAGCGTAACTGCCAACAGCTACTCACGCGTTCGTTACTCGCCCACAGTGGTGCCCAGCCCAGGACGCTGTTATAATGGCCTCAGGGCTCCGAGAAAACGTCCTCGCTCTTCCACTAATGAGGCTCACGAAAATTTGAATCATGTTACCTGACGGATCTCGAAGAAAAACGTGACGCCCTTAGTGCTCGTTAACAAACGACCTGCAATAGGTCACCTTAAAAATCAACTGGCTTAGTGACGCGCGGGCGAACGTGGTGCACCTATCCCATCCTCATTATTGTTTTATGGCTAGGACTTAATGATGCACAACCACTAATTACACATCGGAATACGTCGGGAACCTACTCTCGAGTACAGCGGTATTTTTACCCTAGCATGGCATCTACGATGTCCTAGAGGCTACGCTTCTGGTTATCGAGTACACTACCCGAACGCGACGTTAACAACGGCCCGAGGGCCATGTCCAGGAAACTACGTTTCTCGATATGTGGTGCACCACCCGAGCAAGGCACTTACAGCTGCCAGGGAACGACGTTACTTGATGTACAGTGCACCACCGCCTCACTCGATGCTTGAAGAAGATTCTCGCTACCCAAAAATGCTCTTGGTACTCGAGCGGCAACATACAGGCTCCCCAATACTTGGGAATATCTAGCTGCATTGCTTGAAACTTCGGCACCCGAAGATGCTCACTATATACTCACGATTTTCGGAACCTCACGAGGCTGAGGCGTTCCTAGGGCTTGAAGATTCGTGCTAGCTTATCATTAAGTCCCTGAGGGCTCTTGTCGAGAGGCAGGGCCAAGGTAAGCTAACGCCGCCCGTATATATGACCACCACCAAGGTATCGGTCCAGCGGAGTCAAGGGAGGCCCATGAAGGGCTGACTCGATCAACCAACGTGGAGATCAAGGCAAACCAAGGCACAATCGCCCTCTCTGGATGATAGCTAGGATCAATCTGTTACAACAAACTAGGAACACAATCTTTTAGCCCGATCGGCCTCTCTCGTAACCCTACCTCTCCCCGCCTATATAAAGGAGGGTAGGGAGCTCGGACATGGGATCCATCTTCCACCTATTCCATCTACATCGTAGCTAGGAGTAACAGCCACAGTAAATAAGCATACTAAGACAAGAGCGAAGCACCACTAGAGTAGGGATTAGCGCACACCACTCTCCGAACCAAAGATAAATCTCTATGTCTCATGTGCTACCATGCGATTCCGTCTACGATCACGTTCTTGGATATTGCCGAGCAAGACAGTCAGACACATAGAATTTGCCGAGAGGCGGCCCTACAAATCATGTGTAGTAGTGTAGCGCGTCTAGTGAGAATTAACCTGGAGGCTCCATTAGAGCCTCCAATTAGTAATAGTAGGATTCTTTAACTAGTTGCTAGCCAACTAGGTAGCAAAGCATAGCTAATTTGGACTAATTTTTTAGCCCTGCTAATAACTATTTATGTGTATGCAAACCCGCCTTTACACGGTAGACGCATCCCACGGAACACCTTTTTCAGAAGACCCAGCCGGCCCAAACCAAAACAGCCCAGCTGGCTCAGCACAACACCCAAACATTTCCTGGACAATACGGCCGTAGTAGATATACTCAGCCGGACTGAAACCCCACAATGAAAATATCAAGCCACAGGCACATGTATATACTGGTACAAAAAGGTTAATTATGCTATGTACGGGAATCGATAGCTTTACCGGCGTGCAAGCATGATCGTCCAAAGTAGCTAGTTCATTTGAATGACGACTTGGTAGGGAAACGAATCTGTTGGGATGAACATGGGTTCACATTAATTTATATTGTATAATCCTTTTTTCCGAATAGTTTAACCTTACCTATGGAACGTTGGTACACTGCTAATAATAAACACAACGGCAATACGTAGAGATGTGTGCGTGTTGCCGGCCAGGTGAGTACACCGTCCACACTCGTGAAGCGTAAACTACAAAACTCGACCACATGGCTTGGTACACTGCAAACGATGACAAAGATCCACACTTAAAGGCAAAGCCACATGCGCCGATCGATGCGCGCACATGATCGTATCCATCACATCAGAAACGTTGCAGTGCCAGCTGCAAGTGAATGCGTTATTATCAGCGAGAGACGAGCAAGCCCTGCCTTGGTGATTTCTAAGACTCTAAGCAAAACTTTGCAAGATAGTAATACGTACATTTAATTCTTTAAAAAATACGTACATTTAAAACGAAGATGCTTTACAATTTAATAGTGCCAAATTGAAGTTGAGTATTATTACACATATGCCTAGTTCATTAAAGATGCCAATTTGCAGACACAAAGATGCTCTCAACAGTGAGTATTATAGAAACAAAGACGCCAATTAGAAGACACAAAGATACTCCTCTCGCTAACGCTCGCCCCTCCGCTCGCTTGAGAGGCACTGGCGCCGCCGCTGGGCTTCTCCTCCCGGGCGCCGCCGCCACCGAGATCGTCCACTGTCGCCGGGCTCCTCTTCCCGCGCGGTGCTGCTTCCGAGATCCGACGCCGCCGCGGAGCTCCTTCCCCGCGCGCGGCCGCTGGAGGCTGGACTCCTCACCACGCGTCGCCGACTCCGCGCTTCGTGCTCCGCTGCCGGGGTCCTCCTCCCCGCGTGTGCCGAGTTCCGAAATCCGCTGCCGCCACCGAGCTTCTTCCCCTAGCTTCCGCATGTGCGGAATCTCTCTTGGTCTTCAACGTCACCAATCTTCCATCCTGCCGTCGACATGGATCTTGTGGCTGGGGCAGTGGGCAGCATCGTCACCAAGCTCGGCCAGCTCCTGCACGGGGAGTACAAGCTGCAGAAGGGCCTGCCGGAGCAAATCGAGTATCTGAAAAATGAGCTCGAGAGTGCGCACACGGCTCTCTGCAAGGTGGGCGAGACGCCGCCACAGCATCTGGATCGACAGGTCCGGCTGTGGGCTGGCGACGTCAGAGAGGCGTCCTATGACATGGAGGACATCCTCGACGCCTTCCTCGTCGATGTCGTGGAGGGGGCCGCCCCTGCTGAGACTAAAAACAAGAAAGGCTTGCTTAAACGTCTCAAGAAGATGGCCAAGTTGTTGAAGGAAAGAAAGGCACGCCACGACATCGCCGGCGCGATCGAGGACATGAAGAAACGACTCCAGGAGGTGTGGGACCGCCGCGACAGGTACTCCATACCCGTTGCAGTGGCTGCGCCGGCCGCAAACTGGATCCTCGCCTTGTGGACATGCACAAAGAGGCAGCACAGATTATCGGCATCCAGAGGACGAGGGCCGAGCTCATAGCCATGCTTCAGTCATCGACCCACGGCCATGGAGATGCTGGTGCCTCCAGCAGCAACAACCCGACCAAGATAGTTTCTGTGGTGGCAGCTGGTGGTCTGGGCAAGACCACTCTTGCCAAGGTGGTGTACGACGAGCTGAGTCCGGGATATGATTGTCGAGCCTTTGTTTCGGTTGGCCGCAATCCTGACCTGGTGCAAGTCTTCATCAGCATCTTCTTTGGTCTCGACCAAAATATGTACCAGGCCATTCGTGATGTAAAGGACCTACAACTGCTCATTGGCGAACTCCGAAAATTCCTTGAAAACAAGAGGTATGCATTAATCAGTTG